GCCACCTTCAGGATAGCTAGAGTAACATCAGCTCTACTGGACAGCCTCTACCTATGAAGGTCTGATACAAACACTCTAATTCATGAATGTGAAGCAGTGTTAATCAGTACTGCTTGTAGCACTTCATTACTTTGTTTACATTACTTGTTACTTGTTAGACTCTTTTATCCAAAGCGACTTACATACTCAATACTGTGGACAATCCCCACAGGAGCAATTTGGGGTGAAGTGTCTTGTCAGTGGGGTTTGAACCTGTGACCCCCTGATCCGAACACCAACGCTCAACCCACTGCACCACACGCCTCGACTTCAGGATTTGAAATCAAATATGAAGTGCTTTATAAATTAAACCCATTATTATTATTATTACTGTAAAAATCAGAGTTTAATAAATAATTGTTGATGAATTAGTCTCTGCGATTTTGCACGAATGTTTTTCTTCATTTTTTTAATAAAAAGAAACATAGCAACGTTATCTATCCATCTATCTATCTATCTATCTCTCTCTTTATCTATCTATCTTATAATAGCACGGTGATACAGAGTGGGGTCGCCCAAGAATGCGTGGGGATAGGCGTGTATATCCCAGAATTCAAAATATCAATCTCAAAACGAGGGTCAAATAACTTGTCAGTTTATACAGCAGAAATACTCGCAGCAATTATTGGGCTACAATGGGTTGAAGAGGTCAGACCTGATAGGGTGGTGATATGCACAGACTCACTATCTGCTTTGGAAAGCATACAGTTGACAATAACTGTTAGAGAAGATTTAATCATTGAACTTAACCACTGCTTACTGAGACTTCAGAATCAGAAACAGGTTTATCACCAGGTGGGTTCACACATACGAGGAATTTGACTTGATGTCATGGAGCATGTAGAGGAAACTTCTGTGTAGCTATGCAGTGGGAGTCACCGACTCAGGAAGGAGACACGGGAAGAGCAGTAGCTTTGATGTCAAACACATGATGGTTTATTTGGAGTTAAACGGCCGGAGGATTCACATCACAAGTCCAAGAGTCAGAGGTTCTGACTTCACGGTAGAGTTGCCACGTCAATTCTGGAGAGCCTCTCTCTTGCCAGCCCATCTAACTGGTTTCGCAGAGAGTAAACAACATATTTGAGGAGATAGCCTAAACAGTGTGGGAACACAGAGCTACTTGCCTCGGACACTTATGACCTCGAAGATTTTACCTTGGAGTCCACAAATACAGAGAAGGAAGTGTCCCAGTGTACCCACAACACAGACCATCTGTATCCCAGTATTGACCAGTCACAGAATGGGAACAATAACATTATTGGCTAAGCCGCCTGTGTCCTTAAAGAAGGTAAACAGACATCGAGGTTTGTCCTGTATGTTACTAATTGGCGTCTTATGATAATTATTTCCACAACAGAGCAGACATTACATATAAAACAAGAAATCTAATATAAAACAGAAAATCTTTTCTCATTTGCGGAGCCTGTGAGAGATATAACCTACTATTCTTAAATGTGTCGGGATTTTAGAACTAATTAGAGAACCTTCGCCACCACGAGGAAATTCTTTTTGGATTTTGTCGGAAGACTTTAATGGGTGAACTATGAATTAAGATTTTAGATTAGAAAATAACCCCAGCATGATATGTTTAGTATGATTATAATGTTGTAACGAGATAAGGTAAAAACCCTGTATTAGTTTGGACCTATTTTTCTTCAAATAAACTGATCCCACCTTTTGGATTGGAACAACTTAAAAGACATCTGCGCTCTCTTCTCCTGCTTCAAAGGTAACATTGCACCCTGCCACACTCACACCTCATTTACTGATATCAAAATCCTTCGGGATCGCTTAAACCGATTAAGAGGGTCGTCTGAATTGAAACAGCAGTTAATTGAACCTGGTTCTTCAGGGAGTTAATAGAGGTGAGATCTTGCTGACGTTGGTGGATCTGAGCCAAGCAGTACATTTACATAGACTCAATAACTTCGGTTAGGTCAATTAGTAGGTCTGAGTAATTTGCCGGAATAAATTATCAGCTCCTCACCAACTCTTACACAGAATAGCTGAAACTTTAACAAAATAAACAACTCTGTTACCTCTAATCATTAACCCATGTTTGAATAATTTTTTTTTTTTTTTTAAAACCATGCATACAAAAACATTAATCAATCAATCAATCAATCAATGTTTATTTATATAGCCCAATATCACAAATGTTACATTTGTCTCAGTGGACTTTACAGTTTGTACAAAATATCAGTATGACAATACGACACCCTCTGTCCTTAGACCCTCACATCGTACAAGGAAAAACTTCCGGAGAAAACCCACAGTTTAAAGGGAAAAATGGGAGAAACCTCAGGGAGAGCAACAGAGAAGAGATGCAATATGCCAGATTATAGCTAATAGCTCATTTCCATCTGTGGTCCTCAGACAGTCCTCCTAATTGAGTTAACTTTTTTTTAATTTTCTTATCAAGCTCCACATTTGTGGAATCAGCTTCCAGTTTGTGTTCGGGCGGCAGACACCCTATCCGTTTTTAAGAGTGCGCTTAAGACCTTCCTTTTTGATAAAGCTTATAGTTAGGGCTGATTAGATCCAGCCCCTAGTTTTGCTGATATAGGCTTAGTTTGTCGGGGGACATCTTACTTCTTCCTTCTCTCTGTCTATACCTGTGTACTCTCATGTTCCGATTAACCCAGCTTCCCCAAATGTCTTTCTTTTTGGTGTCTATATACGCCGGGATCCGGAGTCATGGATGATCCTGCGCTCCTCTGTCCTGGATCGCGAGCCCTGGATCTTGAGTCGTGGCTGTGGTCCTGGATCATAGGTCCTGGATGGATATCCTCGTGGATTCATCTTCCTATTATACACACATGCATTTCCAAACATTTGGACTACCTATGTTGCAAATGTATTATCTTTTCAATTTACACACGGCATCTATTGCACGTCTGTCCGTCCTGGGAGAGGGATCCCTCCTCTGTTGCTCTCCCTGAGGTTTCTCCCATGTTCCCTTTAAACTGTGGGTTTTCTTCGGAAGTTTTTCCTTGTACGATGTGAGGGTCTAAGGACAGAGGGTGTCGTATTGTCATACTGATATTTTGTACAAACTGTAAAGTCCACTGAGACAAATGTAACATTTGTGATATTGGGCTATATAAATAAACATTGATTGATTGATTGATTAACTCAGTGTGTTTCTGCTAGCATACATCAGTGGTTCCCAAACGGTGTGCTGTGGGATTTTGTGACAACCATACGTTATTATTGCAATATACAACTACACAAAAATAATAATATTTTAATGTACTATATCAGTACTTTGTAGGTTTATATGTACGTAATCTGCGCGACTTGCGCATCCACATCTCCACGTGCAGTGCTGCATAAACATGGCTGAGTCAGCGATAACTTTCGAGGGGTGAAGGTATGCCCATTACTTTGAGTTCGTCCGAAGAATAGACAGGAATGTGATGGTGAGGTGCAAACTGTGTCCAGGCCAGAAGCTGTTATCCACTGCTGGAAACACCACGTGGTCAAACCTCAACACACACCTGCAAATAACACATGCTAAGGTGAAGCTACCGCACACGCTATTTGTTGTTTGTTGATATCACGTAGTCTGTTCTTCTTCTCTGTCTTCCGGTTGTTGCCTGTTTTGAATGACAAATACACACTACCGCTGCCTGCTGGTAAAGAAAGTTATTGCCACTCACGCATGCGCAGTTAGTACTCGTGCTCGGCGAGTAAAGTAACGAGTAAAGTAACGAGTTCCTTTATGTAGATAGTAACGAAGTAGTGTAATATATTAATTTTTTTAAAGTAATACATTTATAATTTATAATTTGTAGTTCAGGACCATGGACATTCTTTGACAATTGTTTTTGACAATTCAATTGACAGTTCTCTGTGCTGAATTTCTGCTTAATTTCCTTTGCCTCATTTTTAATTTTGTGACCTGTCTGGTTTAAATGAGTGTGTTGCTGCTTTGATGAAGCCTAATTTGATAAAGTTTCAAATTAATTTCTGAAATATTTCGTAATATAGTTGTCTTTGTCACATTTTATTTGGCATTAGTAAATAATTATGCACATTTACAGATATTTTACATGATATGAGTGATAACACGTGTTATAAGGGATATTTTGCACAATAGGTGTGCCTTGAGATTTTTACTTGTCCTTTGGTGTGCCTTGGGCACAAAAAGTTTGGGAACCACTGGCATACATAATACCTGACGTGGAAAAGTTACTCGTGGATTGGGCTACAGAGCTACTAGGAAGACAGTCGAAAACGTTGCATTTCTCCGTCTGAAAGTGGACTGTGCACTTTTGCAAGATGTTTAGACAAATTGCTCGTGTTACTGCCCTTACATGCTAAACTCTTATTGCACTTTAGTCCACGAGCATCGAAACGGGTAAAGTTTAACCACACCTCGGAGCGCGTTCTCTCTGACATCTCCTCCGTGGAGTGAAAGAAAATGTGGAACACATCATATTACACTGCAACATGTACAAAACAGAGAGGGAAAAACTAAGAGACAGGGTCAGAGAGGCAGGATAGAGAGTGGAGCCTGATGGGGACACTGGGGACAGACGGTGAGGGGGTAATAGCTACCAGGAAGGCTATTCTTAAGTATTTGAGTGAAACAGGATTGATTGGAAGAATTTAAAACAACGTAAATACAGTGGTATTATACATTACATTACATGTTACTTGTTAACGCTTTTATCCAAAGTGACTTACATACTCAATACTGCGGGCAATCCCACAGGAGCAATTTGGGGTGAAGTGTCTCAGGGACACAACGACATGCTGACTGCAGTGGGATTTGAACCTGTGCTCCCCTGATCCGAAAACCAACGCTCTAATAATCCACTGCGCCACAGCCTCCGCTGGTATAATTCCACAAGTGGTGATAGGATGATAATGGTAATACACACTCTGTACAGTAGGTGGCGGTATGCACCTTAAAGTTGTTTGCAATCCGCCTTTAAATCGAGAGAAGAAGAAGAAGTGATGCACCGGAAGTGATGGTCTCGCTCTTTCTGATGGAACCAGATCGTGTCTCGTGGCTTCTCTCGTGTGTTCTCTCGCTACATCCATGGTCCTCTCTCGGTGTTCCTGAGGAAGTGTGTGTGCACAGCTGATCCATCCATCGTCTGTGTGTCTGGATGAACCTCTGACTTTGTGCTCTTTCTTCTGAAGCCTCTAGCTCGGACTCTAGAAGCTAGCTTAGCATGCTAGCTGGTAACACGCTAGCAACACAGAGTGAGAGAAACGGGAAGTGGTGATTTAGTAAACATGAGTGTTGTGCTGCTCTCGTTGGTGAAGCAGCGACTCACTGCGGCTGCTGAAGACATCTTTGTTCTGTTTGAAAGAACGATAGCAAAGTACGAGGAGGAACTGTCTCGTTCAAAACAGGAGAACGAGAGACACCGGAAACTACTGGACGCTGTTTTACAGCCTCAGCTTCAGATCCACAGAGCAGGTCTGTTCCCTCTTTATTCACTCGCTCTCACTCTTTAGACTCTGTATTAACTCGTGAGACTCTTACGGCCCGTCGACAGCTTCAATCTGCCCATTCACTTTGAATGGGGTGACGTCACGTTGCCGCTTTTTTTCGCCGAACTGAATTGTGGGTAGCATAGCGGTCCGTCTCTGCCGTCTCCGGCGTCAGAAGTTTGTTTCTGACGCCGGAGTAGCCAGCGCCAGCCAATCAAATCCCGTTTCGGAAAATCTAAAAGCTCAAGCCGTAGCCAATCAAACCGCGTCTAAGCTGGGAGAGATATCCCGCCGTTCATTTCTATATTTCAAAAAAAGATGGAGAAGAAACTAATTATCGCCGTTGCAAATCACCCGGTTTTGTACCAGACCCTCTTCACCTACCCGGATACAAATCGGAGGAACCAGTCATGGAGGGAGGTGGCAGAGACAGTGGGTGAAACTGGTAGGTTTTCGCCTGTTTGGGGAGTTTATATATATATATATATATTGCTCCCATAAAATCCCCGGGGGTTTTTGCTTTGTATGTCGGGGGCGGGAGATTCGTGTGATTGGTTGTTGGTCGCGTTGCTTGAATAAAATCCCCAAGCTTCAGACACGCCCAGCTCCAAGCTTTTTTTGAAGCTGTAGTGTGGATGCTCCGTCCACCTGTTAAACCCCAAGCCTGTTTTTCAGGTTTCAGGCTCGAAAATGACATTCCCAGAACAAATGACTATAACTTCACTTCTAAAAGGTTTATATGAATAATTGTTGTTATCAAAGCAAGGTTACATCTGTGAGTTGGATGTAGAAGTGTCAGAATCAATATAGATTTGTCTGTGTCAGAGTAAATTCAGATGGAACATAGCAACAAAATGCAAATTCCTGTCTCCGCCTAAAGAAAACCCATTACTTATAGTGAAGACTAAAAGCTTTAGGAATCCAAAGTATAACATATAATAAGTACCCTGTATCAAGATTGAGGCAAAACAAGTTATATTTGACCTTTTTAGAGAGGTTTATGAAAATAAAGTCCAGGCGGAATAAGCTTTGGGCACATTTGGTTCCATCAGTGCCATTTGACCTTTTTCAGGTACCAGACTATAAAAATCATTGTATTACATTGAATCATCACTATATGTATTCATGTATGTATTTTTTTTGTGTGTGTAAGTGTAGCTGTGTGTGTGTGTAGCTGTGTGGGTATGTGTAGGTGTGTAAGTGTAGCTGTGTGTGTATGTAACTGTACCAACGCGCTATACAATAAAACTACACTGTAGGTCATTGTGTGTAAGTGTACTTGCACAATAAAAAAAAACGGAAACATAGGTAACATTTGACTCCAACTGGGGCAGATTTATTTCAAACATTTTACCAACACACTATAGGCATGTAAAAACAAACATTTTACCAACGTACTATACAATAAAACCACACTGTAGGTTTGTAAAAACAACAAATATTTTACCAACACACTATACAATAAAATCACACTAGGTATATATATATATATATATACCTACCTGAATGTTCCAGTATTTAGGTCGTGCCACTCCCTGAAACAGTTCTTTTTGACAGTGAAGCACAGAGGGACCTGGCACTTCCTGCAGTACACAGGTGTCTTCACCCTTTTGAGTCCAGCATCTAGGCACCTCCTGCAGTTCTTCCTGACCTTGGTGGCATCTTCCCCATAATACTCGGACATGTGAGTGGTGGAGGAGGAGGGGGTGGTGGAGGTGCAGGGCCTTCAGCAGCGCCTTCAGCAAACTCCAACAATTCTGCAGCAAGCTGCTCCCTGAAAGTCTTCTGGGTGTGTGGCTTTGTCCTGCTGGGGTCACTCCTCATCTAACAAATGTGGAAAAAACAAAGAGATTAGATTAATTCACTGGCTTATACTTATAGGATAATATTGGACTATAAATGAATAATATTACACCAAATAAATAAGTAAACACATGTATATTCATTCACTGGCCATTCATTTAGAAAATGTAACTCCAAAAAGACAAGTAACACTATTTAGCATTTTGCCTAATCATTCCTGTAGCTTCTTGGCTAAGCTAGCACTGTGACGCAGTTCCACCAAACACATAAGTAATATATAAAAACAGAGAGATTACATACCTTTCCCGTGGTGGAAGTTCAACATCCGAGTCACTACTGTCCGGATCCAGGTCTGGCTGGAGGAGATCTTCATCATCCGACGAGGAGTCATCTGGTATGATCATAGCCCCGCTATCGTCAGCTAGCATCTCTAGCACTCTAGGCTCCGTAATGCGTAATGGAGCCGGAGCGGGCGTAGTTTATACTACGCAGGATCCTATCTTTGGAACCCATTGGTCGATTTGGGTGATTGACACCTTTTCTGAACCGTTAGAGCCAATAGAATCGAGTGACAGTTAGTAAGTCCCGCTAAACACTTGCGTCAATTAGAGAGAGGTTTGCGTAAACGGCACGTGAGACAGCATTAGCTCGGGACTGCGAAACTTTATACCTACTCTGCTGCCATGAATGTAATGATAGATTATCAGGAACAATTCTAAAGTGACTAAGAGACATTGGATTAACTTTAAGCAGCGTTTTTATTCCCTTGAACAAGAGCTTTGATCACAAAACAGCAACGGTAAGACATAATTATTGTTATGGTTTTGAAAACTGTTGTTTTTTTTCTTCTCTGTTCTGGCTGCTAGCTCAGTGAGTTTGTGTCCTACAGTGATGATACTTATAACAAAAATAATCTGTGGAGTATCAGCTTTCAGATGATATGTAGTTTGTGCAGAAAATATTAAGTTTTAAAGATCGTTTTTGCTAGTTAGCACCGGAAGTAGCATCTGCCCGTTTTAGCTAAGGGCTAATGCTAACGCTTCTTGTGAGACTTGTGTTTTGTTTCGGTAAAAATGGTTCGTATCGTCAGTTAGCTGAGATTCTTCTCGTTAATCTGGTATAACACATTAATAGGTTTTTAAATATTAAGATGCCCTGAGACACAGTGTCGTGAAAAAAAAAAAACAGGGTCCCCGCCGGCGGGGACCTTCGGGCTTAACAGGTTAATAGCTGTCTCTGCCGCCTGACGCTCTATTTGACACCATGTTCATATTTCTGGAGTAATTATACCGTTTCTTGATGAACATAAATATTGTTTTTCTGGCATCACTTTAACATTTTATGGGGGAAATCTGCATTTTGGTATGAGGGTGCATGCTGAGAGTAAGAGGGTGCAGTGCCCCTGTTACCCAGTTTAGAGAACTTCTGAAGTAATTGCAAACAGGACTCAGAGAGACACGGGGAGAGCAGGAGCTTTGATGGCAAACACTGACAGTTTATTTGGAGTTTCGGCCGGAGAATTCACAAGACGTGTCACGAGCCATGAGTTGACACAACGGATTCCAAACCAATTCTGAGGATCTCGACCCAGACCCATGTATTAAGCTGGTTCTGAGAGAATAATCAACATTGTGCATAACAAGATAAAACCATAACACCTCTATCAGCTGACGCCAACAGGCAGGAACAGGGAGACAAAACACTGAGAGCACAGCAGCCAAGCTACAGGTGCGTGTGCTCAGTGAGGTCAGTACAAACTGATAAACTGGGTCACAGTTATGGGCATAAGAAAATATTTCCCCAACAATTCTTCCCTTTTTATCAATTTTGATAAACAAAACCTACCCCAATAATACATTTGTTCGGAATCCCTAATAAATTAGATTATTCGGAAAGGGTGTTGGCATTTTGCATATTGTGTGACACGCTACAAAAAAGTACTTTCTGAGATCAAAAACTCTGTTGCAAAATAATGTGGTTTAATGAAAACTGGAATGATCCACTTATTCTCCTTGGACATGCACAATAGCCGTGTTCACACCAAGTACTTTGCAGTACTTAGTTCCCAGCACTTAATTCCCCTATGGAACTAAGAGCCGATCGCGTTCACACCGGAGTACTTTTCCCTGAGGGAAGATTGCGCAAATGAAGCCGCTGACGTCACTTCGCCTTCTTCTGATTTAGGTTTACTGGCAGGCCGCAAACGACTTCACGGCGTATCCTGCCACCCGAAGTCCCGGGCCGGAAGTCCCCGGAGTTGGGGGAGGCTACTGAAGCCTTCCGAGTAAATCGTCAGAATGCCGACACCTCCTCATCTCCACTGCTCCCATGTTTTATTTTTTGTTGCCATAAGTTAATCTCTCTGCATTTGTGCGCTGGGCTAATGCTAATAATGCTAATGCGAGGATAATAAAATGGCGGCTCTACAAAACATTTCAGAGTTTTACGGGGCGTGGTTTGCAATAGTGTTGTCACGATACCAACATTTTGGTTTCGATACCGATACCAAGTCAAGAATTGCGATTCCGATTCTTTTTCGATACTTTTCTTAAAAAAAGGGAAACAGTCTTAAATGTAATTATTGTGCTTTATTTCACACCATAACCATAACACAAACTTTTAAACAATGAGAACAATAAACAAAATAAATGACAATAATTCGTATTAAATAAAATTAAGCATCATCTCAAACAACTTTTTTGTTTTATAAAATATAATTTTTTTTATATTTTATTAACATTTAATAGTACAGTAATATAAATAATTATTGACAAAATGTATATTGCAGATGTTAGCCATATTGGTAAGTTAGCTAAAAAGATAGCCATATTAGACAGTTATCATTGCCATTAATTGCCTCGTTTGTCACAAAATAAATTACACTGGTTTGACTTAGATTTGAGGGCATGTGCATGTTATCTATCACATTCGCTTACCTGTCTGTCTTTAAATTCTTTAAACAGCTCTGGATTCCGGTTGGCGGGTGCTTAGCCAAGTCTGATGTGTTGAACTTGGCTCCCTTGGTTTGCAGGGATCTAAAACATGTCTCACAGACAGGCCTCGTGGTGTCTGTAGGCTTGCCCTCACTGTCAGAGATATAGCTAAAATACTTCCAAATTTCGCTTATGGCGTCTTTTTTGTCAACAAGCCGAGGCGCAGCGGCAGTTGCACTCCCTCTTGCAG